ATGCTGTGCAATCAGGAGGCAGGAAAAGGGCTTAGAATGGAGCAGGAAGTAACATTCCGAGCTACTGACTGTGCCATAAGGATTTTTTTTCTATGATTTTTTTTTTTTAACCTCAGATCAAATTTTGCCCATTCTTCTGCCACACCAGATTTGGTCTTGTTCTATTTTCAGAGAGTTATCCTACTGACAGATGGATGGACAGAGTTCTGAGCCCCTCTGTGTGATTTTTCTTCAACCTTTCACTGGGATAAAAAGAGGATCCATATCTCGGCAGACATGCTCTGCATGGCTGGATTGTAGATGTAATCTTTTGCATCTACCATTAAGAAGATGTCAGCAATGTGTAGGGAATGCTGCTACCAATCTAACACTGAGCCTAGAGTATTAGAGGCCTTGCTCAATATGATAAAGCATTATAACAGTCAGAAGAATACCAATTGCACATTTATTGGTGATGGGAAAGGTCAGCACTTTGCAGGATGCCACTTTTCTCCCTCTTTTTTAAAAAATTAAAGGATCTGAAAAAAATAAAAGAAGTATCTGAAAAAAATAAAAGAAGACAAAGGGAGCCTGTTTAGAACTTGGTGCACAAAGACATTGGTGACCATGAATATCATGTTGCCTACCATGCTTTAGAATATAATATTGAAAATATCATTCTTAATTACTATAGTTATCTATTAGTTAGTGTTACAGAGTTGTTTTTCAGTTCATTCTTTTCTTTCAACATTAGATACATTGCTGTCCGTGCTTACTGAGGTACAAAAGATGCAGCTGCAATCCTGAAGAGCAGTCATCTTATCCAGTGAATATTCAGATAGGCACAGTTTGCAAGTGACCAAGGACTCCAAGGGTAATTCCCCAGCTTCTGCTATTCCAGCTGACATGGTGCCGAGGCAGATCTTAGTAGCAGAGGACATCAATTTAAACACATCCAGCAATTCTATAAGATATAAATCAGAATGTGCCAGTGAGGATTATTTTGCAAGCCAAAATGTAACATAACAGAATTCTAAGCAATGTAAAACTGACATTTTCTACAGCTCCATCTTTTAACCTGTTCTTTTACTCATCAACATAGTCTGTCAAATCCACTGGATATGGCTAACCCACTTATCTTTTGTGCAAAATAACACAAGTACAGGCCCTCCTAATTCTGCAGCAGCCTTCATCAGTTCCTTTGGAGAAAACTCATTCAGATAAAGCAACAATATAAATTTACCAGAAATAAATATTTCCTATCAAAAGTATTCATAAAATGCCAAAGAAGCTATGGCATGGTCCACAACTAGACAAAATGAGCTACTTCTTCAGACTCTACAAGCTCAAAATAATCCCAGATGATTCCACAATACATTATCCTGCTCATCACTGTAGACCAGGCCTGCACAACATGAAGCCCTCCAAGCAGACTTGTGCAGCCCAAAACCATTTTTAAAAGTTAATAAATTCATTATTGCAGCCCCAAAGGATGCACTGTCAAGTACCTCCAAAGCCTCCAGGCCACATTGCTGCACCAGCTCCAGCACTCTGCTAGCTGCAAAACAGCTGATTGGCATGCCAGGTATGCCAGTCTGCAGCCAGCAATGGTTTTTAATTTATCAATTTTTAATTTATCACTTTCCCCTCTACAAATTGTGCAGATCTGCTATGGACTCTGTCCCGTTAGCATCCAAACCAGAGCAGATACCACTAAGAAACCCAGAACTTCATCCAGTGTGTCTACTGAAGCATTTCCCAGAAGGATCCAGGTTACCCAGTCTGAGGGACAGTTCTGTCTTATGTCTTAGGTTGACCTGTGGGATAGGGCTAGAGGACTTGATAAAATTGCCCTAGCACAACCTCTCTCCAGTCGCTAATCCCAACCAGATGCTAGGTTTACTGAGAAGTTCAAGGGAAATGAAGTGCCTGAAGAGATACGTGGAGTGGTGTTGGCATAAAACTAAAAATAGACACAACCAAGCACTGGTAAGAGCTCAGGTCTGAGCCTACACGGTGGTGGCAAGTGTGACAAAGTGTCAATTGTTCTCCATGCTGATTGTATCTGCAGACTTCTAAACAGAAGTTCTGTTTCATGTAGTCATTCATGGACTACTGCAACATGCTGTACATAGGGCTGCCTTTGAAGACCATTTGGAAGTATGGCTGATCAGAATGCAGTGGCACAAGCAGTAATGCATGCATATTGGTGCGCCCTGCTACACAAACTGAATTGGTTACCAGTAAGCTTCTGGGTGCAATTCTGGGTGCTGGTGATCAACTATATACCTCTTCATGGCAAAGGCCCTCGCTATCTGAGGGACAACTTTTCTTCCAACATTTCTGACAGCCCTGTAAGATCTAACAGAGTGGATGTCTTTATATCCCATCAATTAAAAAATGTCATCTGATGGGATCTAGTAACCAGTCTACTCTGTCATGGCTCCTACCCTTTAGAATAGCTTACCCCCAGAGTTCAGACTGCCTCAAACCTGCAAGCCTTCAGAAGGTCTTTAAATACGTCTCTTTTCCCCCAAATACTGAAGCAGGTTGTGATACATCCATTTGATATGTATTATTTATTTTGTGATACAGTGGGGCAAAAAAGTATTTAGTCAGCCGCCAATTGTGCAAGTTCTCAATCATGGTGGAAAATAAGTATTTGGTCAATATCAAAAGTTCATCTCAATACTTTGTTATATATCCTTTGTTGGCAATGACAGAGGTCAAACGTTTTCTGTAAGTCTTCACAAGGTTTTCACACACTGTTGCTGGTATTTTGGCCCATTCCTCCATGCAGATCTCCTCTAGAGCAGTGATGTAAACGTTTGACCTCTGTCATTGCCAACAAAGGATATATAACAAAGTATTGAGATGAACTTTTGATATTGACCAAATACTTATTTTCCACCATGATTTGCAAATAAATTCTTTAAAAATCAGACAATGTGATTTTCTGGATTTTTTCCCCCATTTTGTCTCTCATAGTTGAGAAACGTTTGACCTCTGTCATTGCCAACAAAGGATATATAACAAAGTATTGAGATGAACTTTTGATATTGACCAAATACTTATTTTCCACCATGATTTGCAAATAAATTCTTTAAAAATCAGACAATGTGATTTTCTGGATTTTTTCCCCCATTTTGTCTCTCATAGTTGAGAAACGTTTGACCTCTGTCATTGCCAACAAAGGATATATAACAAAGTATTGAGATGAACTTTTGATATTGACCAAATACTTATTTTCCACCATGATTTGCAAATAAATTCTTTAAAAATCAGACAATGTGATTTTCTGGATTTTTTCCCCCATTTTGTCTCTCATAGTTGAGAAACGTTTGACCTCTGTCATTGCCAACAAAGGATATATAACAAAGTATTGAGATGAACTTTTGATATTGACCAAATACTTATTTTCCACCATGATTTGCAAATAAATTCTTTAAAAATCAGACAATGTGATTTTCTGGATTTTTTCCCCCATTTTGTCTCTCATAGTTGAGAAACGTTTGACCTCTGTCATTGCCAACAAAGGATATATAACAAAGTATTGAGATGAACTTTTGATATTGACCAAATACTTATTTTCCACCATGATTTGCAAATAAATTCTTTAAAAATCAGACAATGTGATTTTCTGGATTTTTTCCCCCATTTTGTCTCTCATAGTTGAGGTATACCTATGATGAAAATTACAGGCCTCTCTCATCTTTTTAAGTGGGAGAACTTGCACAATTGGTGGCTGACTAAATACTTTTTTGCCCCACTGTATGTGTTTCCCCTGTTACGTAAGTTTACTTTTCTGTTTGTTTTGTTCGCTTTTTTAGGTATTGTCTTGGGTTTTTAATTATATGCTCCCCAAAATCAGTTTTCAGTTGGGGCAGCCTTATAAATCAAAATTGTAAAGAAATATGAATACATAAATAATACATTTCCCAAACTCACAGCCAATATTTTGGCAATCCTGGCTGGGAATTTTGGGGACTGCGATTCCAAAAGATTTGCAGTGTGCCAGGCTGAGAAAGGCTGGTTTATTGAAATGCTAGTATTTTGGTTTGAAATCTATTAATGCTGCTGTTTTATACTCTGAACATGGTGAGTTTCTAGAACCATATATTTTATGAAAAGACTTCATAAACATTTGCAAGCCTAATCAAATTAAATAATTCACAAGCCTGGCTTGTCTAATAGCAAACCAGCTTTGAAGTTCATCAAGATTTTACAAGCCTGCTTGTCAAGGGTCTAGGAAAACTGCTGCTATAAAGTACAATCGTGTAGATGATTTCTCCTATACAAGACACTTTGGCATTTCCTCCAGTGGCTTAGCTGGTTTGCTTCCACCCATTATATTCTTCCTTCACGAATACTGGAAGCCAGAACATACGCTGCTTTTAAACTTTCTGCAAAGTAAGAACTTGCCCTGCACGTCACGTTTGGGTATGTTTCCTATACACACAGGCTTCGTCATATTAACAAAATGTAATCTCTCACTATTCATCTAGGTACCAAATAGTAATTGTTTGGGTGACACAAATCAACTACTTCTACTTCAGATATGCATCTATCAGATATTTATCTTTATGCACAGAAAAACTAACAATTGTACATGCTTTCAAATGAATTACACAATGAAGAGTCATTGGGTTTCAGAATCTCTTTCTATGAAAGTAATTGTCTTCATCTAACTGCATGTAAAAACAACTCTTGCGCTCTTTTATGCAACAGACTGTCCCTTTCAAACGTTGCCAGAAATTTTGGCAACATCTTTTAGCAAACTCACAATCCATAAGCTACTCTTCTAAAGCTGCTGCAACTATTCTTATCAGTGAAGCAACAACAGTACACTGACACATCAAAGGCTTTATTTATTTGGGTTTGCAATTTCCTTTCCATTTGATACATCCAAAATATACATATGTATGGTTTTTCAGCTGTGGTGCTAAAATTCTTGCTAGCACATTGTGTTAAACATTCTATCCCAACAGAAGAACATATGTACAACTTCAAAATCTGAAACAGCATTTGTCTGTTACTCAACCCATTTTTGAGGATTATACCAATCTGTTTGATTCTCATTGGGGAGGCGGAATCCAAACAAAATAAATAGTCCGCAGCATTTAAATTCAGGTATTTTTTACCTTTTCAGTATTGCTGACAGAGCTGCATATATCTAAAATAAAAGTCCACACCGGACACATATCTGGATATAAATTTTGTTTCACATGGCACAGACTTTTTAATTTTAGTTGACTGAGGAACCATGGTGTACCAACCACAGTTCACTTCTGCAAAACACAGCAGGGAATGTCTCATAACAGAAAGTACAGGGAGAGCTACATATTTCTCCTGCCTACTTCAGTCTCTAATGTTTGATTTACGTACACATAGAAGTAACATCTCCCTTAAGTCAACCATGACGCCTGATGATGTCAGGAGCAAGTCTATATGGGGGGGGTGGGGGGTGGCAACAATTCAGAGTTAAGAGATAGGCTCATGAGTAAGAGGGAACAGTATCATCTGGATGACTCATGAAATGACCGAACCAGCAATCCTAGTTCATTCTTACTATAAAGCATGCAAAGTCCAAACATGAAGTTTGTTCCTTTTAACTTACAATAAGCAGTAAGTTAGCATCACAGCATTGCAAAATTCTATTTCCAATATTGCTGTGGTGCAGGAAACATAGGACCTAAGACACAATTATGTCCAGGAAATCTTAATCAATATAAAGACACTTTCAAAAGAAGATGGTGTCAGCCTCTGGTGAAATAAGCAGCCGAGTTGCCACAGCTTCATTTCATAAACTCTCAGCACTTACCTACAGTAGCATCGGCATTTCTGTCCATTCTACTTAACAGAAAGCTGTTGCTTTATCCTGATGGTCTCTGGCATTGTTGAATGTCCTAAGACAGTGTTGTCCAAACTTGGCCACTTTAAGATGAGTGGACTTTAACTCCCAAA